CAAGATCCATAAAAATACAACCACAAAGTTCACAATGAGATTTAAAATCAAAAATGAAATTAAGATTAGAATTTAAGGCCAAAATTTGGCATAGCTTTGTCCTTCATTAAAAGAAGAGAAATCAGGGGCTTGGGGAACCAAGCCACTCTTATAAAATTGAGTGGTGGCTTGTGGGAGGGCGGCCGCATCTTCACCCTTGATCTCTAAGATCTCTAATGTAGATCTATAGCCTTTATTTATCCAAGAGCTAAATTCGTTACTAAGGCTGATGGCTCTTGTAAGTGGTCAAAGATAGCACTTTTTGATAAATCTAACTTTACCATTGTCTTCAAAACACCTTTTTATACTAGGATCAACTACTCACATGCCTCAATCTATGCTTAATTTTAATTTTTATGAAAGTTTTTACCTACAAGGATCTTGGCAATTTTTGTAAAATTCTTTAAAATGAAAATTTCATTACTCCTCTTGTATTTTGAAGGAAAGGGTGCTGATTTTGTTTTCTTCACTCTACAAGGTGAATCCGGTGCCATCATTGCAATAGAAAGGCTTCTATTAATTAAAAAAAGAAAACTACTATACCGCTTGAATTTGTTGAATTTGGAGGAAATTTCAAAATTGTCTTTCCTAAACTTCACTAGATCTTTTAGAAAATTACAATTTTAACTCATTCTAAATCATATGAAATGATTGTAGGTGAATTCATAGGTTCTTAGTTAATTCTCATAGTAGTGACTAACAACCTTTAAATTATTAAAATTAACTAAGTTGCTATTTTAATTTTCTAATTCTTATTACTTTGATTCTAATTAATCTAACTTAAGGAATTAGACTATGATTTGTACCGTCAAAGGTCATAATCCTAAAAATTCTATAAAACTAAATTCTACTTATATAAATCCTAATCTAACATGCTGAATTATCATAAAATAAGGAAATAATAAAAATTTAAATTTTGGAACATAATTGAAAGCTCAGTCTTTTTCAAAAAAGTATAATAAAATAGAAATAAAAAAGTATGTATATTAAAAGGAAATTGGAATGGCTGTTGTTAAAAGATAAGAAAATTAAAGACTTCTTGAAACTAAACTAGAAGCAAAAAAAGAATTGATAAGAGTAAAGAAGACTTCACTCCTACTTTTATATATACTATCTACCTATGAGCTATATGGTAACGTTCAAGAAGAGCTCCGAAACATGTTGACTTTGCACAACATGTATCTTAATTTGCAAGATAAGTTTTTATAAGAGTACCACATAATTAGCTTATTTTGCAAGCTACCAACATGCGTGGTAAATGATTAACTTGTTGATGAAGTTTTTAACCTAACAATCAACAATAAACACATATAAAATCAAAGTAACATTTATAAAGCTTGTAAAAAGCTTTCTTAAAAGATATTATAAAATTAATCTATTTTTATCTATTTCTATGTATTCATATTTTTTAAATAATAATTATTATAAATATATGTATATGATGCAACTTTTAATAATAACAATTGTCTTGTATTTATATATGTGTAGGCATTTTAAAGTCATATCAAGGCTTGAAGTTGTTTATGTTGTTGTGTAGTAATACAATTATATAGTAAAAAATAAAAATATGAATGTTATTATAGAAGAGCCTAGCAAATAGATGTAGTAGAAAAATAAAGTTAAGAAATAACAAGTTAATAAAAGATTTAGTCTTAATAGTGTTTTTTTATAGAAGAAAATTTTATTTAGTCTATAGAAGCATGAATAAACCAAATCAAAGTAAATAAGATAAGAAATTAATATAGGTATATTAAAAAAAGAATCAAAAATGTAATAAAGCAAAACTTACCTCAATTTATTAAAAATTAATATACAAAGAGGACCAATTGTCAACATAGGTTGAAATCAAATCTTGAAGCATAAAATTGTGCCCATATAGTAATTTTGGAGTTCTTTGATAGATTAGAGAGTGGGATTTGAAAGCAGAATTGAAGAAAGATTTTTTGACATTGATTTTATATCAATTGAATTAATATCAGATTATTGAGGGATTCTCAAAGTTAATGATGTTCTCAATTGGTTTAGTTTTTTTAAAAATAAAAATATGTTTACAAATTTGAAGGTTTCTTAAGTTTTGTAGTGTGTATAGGGGTGAATTTTGAACAATGTGTTGATGTGCTAGTTGTAAAATGTGTGCAAATTTTGAAGTCAATTAAATGGTTAGATGGAAGTGTATGAAGGTTTTTGTAGATTGAGATCTCAAAAATTGGAGTTTGAGGGTTAGTGAGTATTTCTAAGATCTTTAGTAATCTATCAATTAGATTGAAGTGATTTTTTTTATGTAAATAATAAACTTAATTTTTAATGTTTAAGTGAAATTTGAGAGTAATTCAAGTATTCAAGAAAGATGTATTGGTGCTAGAAGTTCAACATTTAAGTTAGAGTATGAGGTTGCGCAACATCCAATTAGATTATCTTGTATTTCTTTCAAGTAGTAAATACAATTGTTTTCATCTTTCATATGCTTGTTCTTAATTAAGACATTAAAAAGTATACAAATATTGAATTGATATCAATGATTTGATCATTAGTTGTTGAGGCTCTAATTTGCTATAGGATTTGATTTAGGATTTGTCTATGGTTTGGTTAAGACTTAGGATTTGATCTAAAATTTGATGAGGATTAAGATTTGCTTGGAATTTGATATAAAACTCGACTAAGAATTGATTAAGGTTTGTTTATAACTTTTCTAAGATTTAGAATTTCATTAGAATTAACATAGGATTTAATTAAGATTCAATTAGGATTTTAATTAGAGCTTGATTTATAGTTTGATTAAGGTTCAATTAAGGTTTTAATTAGGATTATATTAAAAAAAAATAAATTCTTTAGGATTCTTTGTTGTTTCTTTAAAGATTTCTATTTATAATATTTCTTTAAGATGATTGTTATTTCTTTAAAGATTTATTTTTATATTTCTTTAAGATTTCTTATTATTATTTATTTGAATTAATTTGGAACTTCTTTGTATTTCTTTTATAACTTTTTTTAAATTTATTTTGAATTGATCAAAGTTCAATTAGCATTATTAAGATCTATTTAAGGTTATTTAAGATTTTATTAGAGTAGATAGGATTGTTCTTGCATTTCTACTTACCTTCTACAGCTAAGCACTTGGTGCATTCTCAAGTAAGAATACATGTAATACAATAATGCATGCTTTGTAGACTACTAGTGAGCTATGCAAGGTTTGTGTTAGTGATATAATGCTACCTCCACCTAAACTAAAATAGGCAAGATGACTATGAAAAATTTGCCTCCATAGTCTTAATGAAACTAATCCAAAAAACAAAAATTGGTGCTCAAAATGTGACAAAAAGAACCACAAATCTCGTATCTACAATTGATGACACCAAGCATGATGACTCTTGACTCTTGTTGGTAATCTTTGGCTTGCTAGACCACACAAAGAAGAACAATGATGACAAACCATAGTAAATAAGGAAAAGTAAGACAAATGAAGATACAAGGCGATACAAATAGACTTCTTTTGGCATATTGGATCTTATTTGGATATTGCATTATTGGAAGAAAAAAAAATACGTTCAAATGAATTAATATAAGAAGACAACAAGGATAACATGGTTGAAAGACAATGGAAGCAATTATGAACCATTGCAAGTAAGAAAAAATAGAACAAAGTAAAGAAACACAAAGAAAAGCAAGGAGACATAAAAATATGCAAGAAAAAGTAAGGAGATATGAAGAAATACAATGAGGAGGAGGAGGAGAATTGTGTTTGAAGAGTCATGTAGATGGATGACCAATGCCTCTCTTTGTAATTATTTTCAATTTGTGCCTTTATTTGTAATTATTTTTGTGGATGTGCCCTTCAACGTAAATTTTCCATCAATATATTCTACATGACATTTGTTTTTATATCATTTGATTTTAGTTTTGCATTTGATTTTTTTAAAATTCATCCATTATTTGTTTTGTTTAATATTAGTATTATAGTATTTTCTTTTAAATCCTCCATTGTAAATTAATAAAAAACTAAAATTAATATATTCATACTTTACTTACAAAATCAGATGACCATGAAAATTAGTATTTTTATTTATTTTTTATGCAAAAAAATCTTAAAATATTCATATATTATCCTTTCTTTTTGATCATTTCGAACATTTTCTCATTTAGAACATTTATACTATTATTACAAAATAAAGATTTTGATTGGATTTTGATTTTACAGCAACACAACCATTCAACAAAAGGAGAAAAATTTTAAAAATTCAATGACAAGAATAGTATGGGCCGTGGACAAAGCTAACTCAGCAGCAACTCGATTAAGTCAACTTGTGTTGCTGCTTCAACAAGGTCCAGAAACCCTAACTGTGTTCTGCGATTGGCAGTGAAATCCCAATTGCGAGGGATGAAGGGAGAGATCTGATCCATGGAGACCCTCAGGCGTAAATACCTCGGAGATGGGTGCGTGGCCAGCTGTTTCTCCGTCCTTAAATTAGTCTTCACAGGTGTCTGTATCGGAACACGTGCACCATCAATGGTAAGATATTTTCCACATGGCATTCATACATGGAATTCGTGTTGGTCACTGAGATGGGGCACGGATACACGTAGTGACCACCATCCACTCTTCTCCGCACACGACAAGCCACTGGGGAATCTGTATTGCGTTGGTGTTGTGCTTCGGCTTATTGTTTTTGGGCTTTCGGCATCGCCTCCACGCCAACGAGAAGCTCGCAAGAAGACGCAGATCCAGCTCTGTTTCACCTCTGAGGGAATTCTGATCAGAAAACCAAGGTTGTCTTCAAAAGATGTCTTGATTCGCTGAACGAGCTTTCTGGGTTACCAGGCAGGATAGTTTTCTCGGAGTGGCGGATGGAACCTCCTGTTCTTGTTCATCGACTGGCCTCATCCATCTCTTGAAAGCAACAGCACAATAATAGCAGCCCACGTGTTGACATGATTCTGCCCCTTTTACCAATTTTATTCATGTAGATTTGGACGCTGTATCTTTCTGGGGCGGCTTTTGCAGACGGAAATTTTCGTGAACTGAAGTGGTGGATGAGAGGTAGAACTGTTGGGGATTGTTTGGTGGAGTTCAGCTCTTGAGAGAATCGAGATTTTGTTGTTCAGGGTTTTGTGGAATTTGGAGCTTGAGAAGGGAATCGATTGTGTAGAGGGGTTTCATGGCGGAAGAGACTATGGAGAAGACGAAAAAAGTTGATGGCAACCTTCTTGCTGCCCGGGCGTTTGCAAAGATGGGCGTGGAGACTATGTATGGTGTGGTTGGCATCCCTGTGACCTCGTTCGCGTCCTCTTGTGTGAAAGTAGGAGTGCGTTTCATTGCCTTCCACAATGAGCAATCTGCCGGTTATGCCGCGAGTGCTTCTGGCTACTTGACGGGAAAGCCTGGCGTGTTGTTGACAGTCTCTGGGCCAGGATGCGTGCACGGATTAGCCGGATTAAGTAATGCGCAGATCAACACGTGGCCAATGATTTTAGTGTCAGGTTCTAGCGTGCAGGCAGACATTGGCAAGGGGGATTTCCAAGAGCTCGATCAGCTTGAGATTGTGAAACCTTTTGCAAAGTATGCCGGAAAAGCTCACAATATTAAGGAAATCCCTAAAGTGGTTGCCCAGGCTGTGACTGTGTCCGTCAGTGGTCGGCCTGGTGGTACGTATGTTGATCTTCCCGCAGATGTTCTTCACGAAGAGGTCACCGAGGATGAAGCTGTTGAGTTGCTTGCTGATTTGAAACCATATGTGCCCGCATGGGCACAAGAGGGCCCACGGAAGGAATTCGCTGCAGGTGATTCAGAGATTAGCGAGGCCGCTTCATTACTGCGTAATGCAAAGCGCCCATTGATTGTGTTTGGTAAAGGCGCGGCTTTTTCCCGTGCTGAAGGAGCATTGAAGAATCTAGTGGAGTCGACAGGCATTCCTTTTTTGGCTACTCCTATGGCTAAGGGCATATTACCCGATGCCCATCCTTTATCTGCTTCAGCTGCCCGGTCTCTTGCCATAGGCGAAGCAGATGTTGCTCTGGTTGTTGGAGCTAGGTTGAACTGGTTGCTTCACTTCGGTGAGGCTCCACGATGGTCCAAGGATGTCAAATTCATTTTGGTGGATGTTTCTAAAGAGGAAATAGAATTCAGAAAACCTACACTTGGACTGGTTGGGGATGCGGATGTTGTTATTAAGCAGCTTAATAAGGAAATCAAGGACCAACCATTTGCTTTGGGTGAGAAACACGAATGGGTTCAGAAAATCAAGTCGAAGGCGCAATCGAATGTGCAAAGGATGGCTGGAAGTCTCAACAAGGTCGTCGTGCCTTTCAATTTCTTGACGCCTATGAAAATTATCCGCGATGCGATTCTATCTGTTGGATCTCCGGCTCCAATTCTTGTATCTGAAGGAGCTAATACTATGGACGTAGGTAGGTCTGTGTTGGAACAGACGGAACCACGAACAAGACTAGATGCTGGAACTTGGGGCACTATGGGAGTTGGGCTAGGGTATTGCATTGCAGCTGCTGTGACGAACCCTGAGAAGCTCGTGGTAGCTGTGGAGGGCGACTCTGGGTTTGGTTTTAGTGGACTTGAAGTTGAGGTATGCTATCTTATCCCAGCTCGTGTTTGTGTTCCGAAATCATGGTTTCAACATGCATTAAGCCTTAAGGCTCGCATTATTGACTTTTGCAAAGCTGAGAAGCATGCATCGAAGATCCAAGTCCCATGTGAGATCATGTGCGCAAACATTCGCTACTCTTAAAGATCTTTAGTTTTGTGACGATTCGTCTTCAATGTGGATTTTGCCTCTCGGGCAGGGCCAAATGCTTATATTGGATTTTGTGCTATGTTTGCCTGCAGACATTAGTCCGGTACAAGTTACCTGTGGTTGTGATTATCTTCAACAACGGTGGAGTCTATGGTGGAGATCGGCGTCCTGCAGAAGATATCGTAGGTCCTCACAAAGATGACCCCGCTCCGACGTCCTTTGTGCCAGGTGCTCGTTACGACTTGGTTATGGAAGCTTTTGGTGGAAAAGGTTATCTGGTGGAAAATCCCGAAGAGCTTCAGTCGGCGTTGAAGGAATCATTCGCTGCAAGGAAACCTGCAGTGATCAATGTGACAATTGACCCGTATGCTGGTTCCGAAAGTGGCCGCATGGGTCACCGAAACTAGGTTTGTTCTCTGTTCTAGTGAAGACATTTCAATTCTGCCAGAAACATCTCAACTTTTGTGACGGTTGGTGAGGTTCCTGCATCAGGCACGCGTATCATCTTTCGCCGCCATTCCAGGTGGCGCTCGAATGTCATTTCATTTGCAGTTCTGTAAAGAGTATTGGCTAATCGAAACTTCACCATAATCGGTATCGTTCTTATTTTTCCTGCAATTTGCTAAATTCAAAGAAGAGGTATTAGGCCTCAATGTTCACCGTCGAAGTGAAGCATATCCTGACTTAAAAAAATTCTTTTGGCATTTTCTTTTTGCCTCTGTACTACACATATTTGTGAACGAGAGGAGTTGTTGCTCATTGCTTGTGAAGGTATTGCGTAGGACATACATATCGATGACATGTTGAACTAGGACTGCTTTGTTTGAACTATAATAATGTGCTTACACAGGTTGAATTATACCAACAGCATACATAGTGTATCTGTGGCTCTCTGAGCACATGGATTCTGAACTTGTATATTCAGACTTGTGGGTGAGGCTTTGAGCGTATCCAGAGACTTCGTAATCGGCATTAAAATGTTACTACACAACAGAAACTCACATACTGAATCCAGACGTTTGTGAAAATGTTATTGGAGGCAGAGATTAAAGTCCAACACATCCTGAATCAACCATAAATTCAACTTGTAACTTGCACTCTTAATAACAAATATATTTGACATGATGCATGTATATATGCAATTTGAATTGGAATTGTCTCCAAATTGTACTTTCTTTCCTAAGTGCATGCCATTTTGAATCACCAATTATGGTTGTCTCTCCATATTAGTAAAACAGTTCTTTTCATGCCTACCTAGTGGCTCCGAAACTATGGAATCGATTTATAATTGTTGTAAGAAGTAATAAATCATTGTAGTTAAGAGCTATACTATGTCATGCTGAGGTCACTGAATATGTGCTAAAGTTTGACAAAGAAGTCTATCAAAAAACCTTCAAAAATATATACATTTTTTAAACAGAAAATTAAACAACACCATGCGATGTTTTATGACTTATAATCTAGTAAGTTTAATTGCTTTGAAAAGCATAAATTTCGTTTTAAAATGATGTTTACATTTGGAGCTTTGTCTCAACTTTCCAGCGGATATGACCAGGACGGGTGCTCCGTTCTAAATTGGAAAGAGGTTTCCAACTCCAGTAACTTTCGACTCCGCGGACAATCTCCACCTTGATTTTATCATGGCTGCTGCCAAGACCGGGCTATCTTTCTAGAACTTCTTCAGCGTGTTGTTATTCCTCCTTTCGAACCTAAAGTAAGCACCCTCTCCAAGCTCAACCTCACCTTGTACTGTTCTGTGACATTGGTTTCCACAGGCCTCGTGTCTGGGAGTTTCATGAACAGAAGTATAGGGTTTCTTAAATAGACTACTCATGTCTCTCAAACTATTGTTTCACTAGTGGGTTTTATCACCATGACTATCGTTTCAGCTCGAATGTTTGTATGGGCATGTACACTATTTGCTGGGTATCCTCTACTCTTAAAGAACTGGCGCTGCTCTGCAGAAGAGAGTAAAATAGAAGTTACAGATAATGAATTGCGGAATCAATCCAACTCTCGAAAGAGTTCTGCAGACTATGATGTTGCGGTGGCATGTGAGAATTTTGAGAGATCTTCCCTCTCCTGCTTCCCTCTCTTGCTTCCCTTGCGGTAAAGTGCATGTACCATTTGATGAAGTCGTAATTACTTTTTCGTAGCTCGTTCATGGATCTTCTGTTAGACTTTCCAGTGACGCATTCTGTGAACCTCTTTGTTTTTTTTCTTTTTTCTTTTTTCTTCTTTAAGGAATTGTTGTCAAGTGTTGTGTACCATGTTGCAATTTCTTCTACTCCGGGACTTTGGTAATGAATCTTTGTAGACCTGAGGCATTACGGAAGTCTTTGCTAACTTTCTGGTTTTACTTCGCATAGTTGGTTTAATGGTTGATGTTGTGCTGTCTTGCTGTTTTGCAGGGATTCATGTTAGTACTATTGAATTTGAAAAGGACGACGGGCACAACTATCATGCTGAGTATGCAGCTACAGCTTCAAGCCTGAGGGGACGGAATTATGGCATTCCCGGCACTGATGATTGCAGGTTCTCATTTTTGTTGCTTTTAATATTATCTTTTCTTGGATCTTTTGCTTTGCATTTTGATGAAGGCACTTGGGCTGTTGATTGGGTGTTTGCTGTTCTTCATTTATTGAAATCAGTAGCTGCTTTGAGGATTTGTCATGCATGTCCTCTGAATTTACGCAACTTGTGCTGATTCCGACATCCTCTTCACAGAAGATCACTGCCACATTTACTTAGATATTATAGTGAGCTCACACGATCAGAATTGCAGTATTGTCGGGGTGGTCTAATTCGTGATGAGTATCATGTTGGTTGTATTGTAGGCAAGGCTTCTGGGTTTAGACCAGCAATCTCGACATTTACCTCAGGGGTAGGAGGTTTATGTGTCTGGAGCTGTATAAGTTAATTCAGAGCAAACCTTTTACATAAACATGGTTACTTCAACTTGGCCGTCCCTTTATTTACGTTTGCACGACCTATCAAAGTGTTTTCGAGCCCACGGTAATAGTCTACCACTTTATGGTTTGCAAATTGTGCTCTAAGACTGATTGCAGGTTGTTCTCTCTGATGAATTGATCAAAAAAATAGTGTGTAGCATCTTCAGACTGACCAAATACAAGCGTCACCTGATAAACTCTCCATTAAGGCAGTGTTTGTTGTTTTTCATGGGAAAAACCGTAATTACATGCATTTTCTATACAACATGTCTGCATGTTAGTTGCTAGGACAAGGTCAGCTTGTTCAACCACAGATTTGTGACCGTGAGAGTTGTACTGCGAAGGTTTTCTGTGCCAACACGGACTCTCGGTAATGAACCTCTTAAGAAATAATGATCAGAATAACATGCCATGACTTGCATCATAATTGTCATGGTAATTTTCTTGCAGATTACCATGCTTTCATTTGAGAAGAGTTTCTTACATGCTGATTTTTTACACGCTTCAAAGATTAAAGACAGAATGGCGCTGACTTTATTAGATCTTGTTATAACCTTTGGCGAAGTGACACTTTCTCCAGAGGAAACAAAAATTTGCTTTTCCATTTCATGCATAAATGCAAACAAGGAGGATGTGGAGCTTCCTGATGTTGTCGCTAAAGTACGGTAGCAAGGCAGACCTAGGTCTTTGAACCTTTTCCGTCTTCGTAAAGAATCGTGCACCTCTTTGAGGAACAAAAAAGATAGAGTGTACATTCAATCTTCAGAGCTGGTGCGTTGTTAGTTTGTATCACATACATATATATATGTATATATATATATATATATATATATATATATAAGCAATCCAACACAGAATCCGTTCCTAGGATTTTTGTAATTTTGCTGTTTGAACAACTTTCATGGAATCAGAATCGTATGACAAATACGGTTGGCTATTCAACAAGATGTAGATGTTTCTGTACCTTGGTAAAGATGTGGGTTTGAAGTGGTAAGCCATGAACTCTACTTTATGGCATCAGAATCAAGCGATGCACTACTGTAGCAATTTTTTGAAGTCTCTTTTTCCTCAGTTTGTAATTGTAATCTTAAGACTGCTCTTTCTGAAACAGGAAGTTGCACATTATTGTGTTGAATGTATCAACAGGAATGTGCAACTTCATATTGTGGAACATTATTGTTGTGTTGAATGTATTCAAATGCTCAGATTTCTAAGCAACTCCAGTGTACAGCACGCAGCAGCCCTTGTTTGTCATTGAACTAAAACTCCATGTGTTAAGAGGACAACAAAACTATAAAATACTTTGTTGTGAATGTTAAAAAGAGTTTCTAGGAATCATTTGTGGCTGTTCATGTGGGTATTTTTCTTGTTTCTGACATCATTGTTGGAAACTCAACTCTGTAACCAAATCATATAGCAAAACGAATAATTTAAGAGATGTGTATTTTAAGCACCGATCAGATTCATGTGTCAAAAATTTGAGTTCATTGTAAATTGCCTTACTAGAAAGTCAGCATTACACCATTTTGTCTTTTTACTCCAAAACCCAAAACTCATTAGATTGTGATGACAGCTAGTAAACTGAGGGTCTATTGGACGTAAATAAATCTAAACTATCAGATTAAGGGCACAAAAGAAACATCTTGATATTAATACATCATATTGTTTAAACATGTATCTATGTATTAATGAAATCTTGTCTAGTCCTTACACATTAGAACTCTTCACTTTCCTCATTAACCTTTTCTTTTCTTTTCTCTTTACCTGCCTTGTTTGATGCTTTTTACTCCGTATATTCAATGTGCACTCTCATAAAAAATAAAAAAACTATCTAATTTTTTTAGATACTTACTCATAACACTTTTCACAATTAAAAAAATTCCACCATTGGGTTCATTCATCCGAAGTTCATCCATCATCCAGCTCGAGACGACGAATGAACCTGATGGTGATTGTCACCGATTTGAATGGGGAGCTTCATGACACAGTTGCCACCCCCGCCATTTCCCGAAGCCCGCGATTCCGATCGGCGTGGCTTTCCTTTCTGTATTGTTGATCGGAGATATTTGTTGCTCGTGCAGGATTAATACTTCTCATTTTCATGGGATTTCGGCGGCGTTCTCTGCAGTTCTTTTTTCAAGATTTCGTTAAATTGTCGCAACTCGATTTCGTTAAATTGTCCTTGGAACTGCTACTTATTCAATTCACATACAACTTGCAGTAGTATGTGAAATGCTGTTGTTCTCGAGCAGACACTGTGACTACGAGGTTGAGCGTTGTCTTCTATAGCCCTTTCATTGCACTTAAAAGGTCTCTTTTCGATTACTTAGTGTTTTGGTGAAGTCGCCCGTACTGTGATTTCTTCCTGTTCGCGTGCGCAGATTTTGAGGTCCGAGGTGAAATGTTGGAGTAATGTTCGAATGATCTGGATGGAACTATTTTTTGAATGAACATTTGTGAGTTATACCACCGGTTAGCTGATTTTGTGAAGACCTGAGTAATATCAACATCGAAGCGTAGCTATTGTCGCTCTTCAATAATCTTTGTTCGGCATCTTGTTCCGTGATCTAGTCTTCGGGTGAGATTTTGGTCTTGATATGAAGTCCTTCTCTCATTTAGTTCTAAGAATCTTAAGATTGCCCCGCAGGATCTAAATTTAGTGAATTCGAGAGAACTCCGAGCTAGTGAGGGTCCTGACCATTTTTAGCTCCCGACTGTCCCTTTTCGGGGGTGAGGTTCTGATAAGTTTCTGTAGAGAACCTATCATGATTTTCCAAGTTTCGGTTCTGAATCCCAATAACTCTTTTCTCCCCCATCTTGGTATCGAAATCAATTTGTAGATGCTGGTTATTGTTAGCAAAGCATTCATTGAAGTTAGGCAGGACATACTTATTTTTGTGACCCAAACCTACTCCTGCTCATATGATATTGATGTGTTTATACCATGAGGATAATGAGAGACTACATGGCTCGAAAGTCCAAGAAGAGAGTGCAACTGGCTTAGGAGGAGAATGAAATTTGCCAAGGCGATGCAGATGCTAGTATTGCTGCAATTGCTTGTGCTGTTTGGAATTATGGACAACTCCGTCGCAGTAAACGCAGAGACAGGTAATAGCTCTATATATCTCTACCTTGAAGTGTGTCGAAATCTTGCTGTACATTCTTGTAATTAAGTTTTAGAACCGTTAGATGTTGCTTATCAGGTAAAGACACCAAAAAGTGCAATAGTATTCTCTGTGATCATGAAATCCTCACAAACTCACGTTTCATGACTAATAATTGGATAAGTCACTGCAGTGTAATCCAACCATCAACTATGTATCTTGTGTGGTGAGAGAACCACAGATAGAGTGTCTAAGACCGTTAGCGACATAAATTATGAGTGTCACCAAGTGTATGTGCTCTGCGTAGAAACGAAGAAAACTTACAAGTTTTTTGTTCTGGAGTAAGGAGTCTAGTACATGTTATAGGACTAACTGGTTTTCTAACCTGAAATCAATTACTGCTATGAAACAGTAAGAATGATCATTTGCGCTTCTCCTACTAACGCTATCGAGAGTGCACTTGGTCTTGGGTTTCTACATAGACAACGCAAAACATTTCCTTAAAATCAACCCCATAGTTTGCACTGTTGATAGATTGCAATTTTGATATTATCCAAGACATATACCTACTAATACTGGATACATTTTCTCTGATTCTGCAGGGTTTGTAAGTTTTATGTGCGGAGCTTCTTCAGATTATTTCTCTCAAAGTGACGGCATCTCCTGGACTAGTGATGCTGCTTATGCTCCACCAATCAGCAAAGCTTTCAGCTTACCGAATCAAGCATCGCTCCTTACGCTGCGGGCATTTCCTCCCGATGCGAGCAGCCCTTCAGGAAGGAGCTGCTTTAGCAATCTTGTTCCACCTAGCCTAAGTCTTGTGCGAGCGACTTTCGCTTATGGAAATTACGATTCTCTCAATAAACCCCCAGTATTTGGAGTTTCAATCGGAGCGACAATGTACAGCACGATCAACTTAAACGTGCAAGATCCTTGGGTTGAGGAGATAATTCTGAATGCCGACCAGGAGCAGGCATTTTGCCTTATTGCAATGGATGGAATTCCAGTAATTTCTCTGCTCGAGTTGCGTCCACTTCCACCAAGATCGTATAATCGTGCAAGCTCCTCCCTAGGAGTAGCCCTAAAGAAAGTCTACCGAATAGACTGTGGGTCAGAAGCTATGAAAATTACGAGGTGAGTACAACGAAATTGGGCATGTGTGAAATAAAAAGGTGCTTCTTTATTTTTGGGAAATCTGCTTCATGTGTGAATAAAGACAATTAGACAGGAATAACGTTTTGAATCTACAGGTCACTTGAATCCAAACTAGATTACGAAAAGTTTCCTAAAGAAATTTCTGATATTCTCATTCTAGAGTTAGCAGGCAGGATATGCCACGTGTAGTGTTAGGGTCTGTTCAAAGCTTAGCTTAATCTTTCCATGTGGAAATGCAGGTATCCAGACGACAGATACGACAGAATATGGGATCCTGATCATTACTACCTTGACGGAAGCACCACGAGTACTCATTCAATATCACGCAAATTGAAAACATCAGCAGTGACTGATGATTGTCCCTTGATTGTGCTGCAATCTAATCGCTTTAATTATCACAATCAGACACTATCATATTCCCTTCCTTTGTCCAAACCGAATGGGAAGTACCTAATGAACGCATATTTTGGAGAACTCTACAATACAACTGGTCCGACATTCATCATGACTGTAAATGGGGCAGTTTTAACAACAGTGGTCGGATGGCCTCCTCTCTCTGGTGCTGAGTTCACAGCGACTCAGGCCGCAAGCTCATGGTGGAACATCTCGCTTCTCCCAGTTATAGGGGCTCCTCAGATCAATGGTCTCGAAGTTTACGAAATCATACAGTTGATGCATGTTTCTAATCAGCGAGACGGTAAGGCTTCTCACACCATGATTATGTGAATTAGCATTCTACTGAAGGCATTAAGTTGGATCCTCGTTTGAGGATATCGAGTAAAAAACAATGCAGGACTGTAAAGATGTTAGAAGATTGTCTTGTGTTCCGTGTAAAACAATCAAGAAAAGCCTTATTTTAGTGCAATTTTGTGGTTTGTAGCCAGAGCGCTGAATTTAATTGAGCTGAACTTCAATATTCAGAATGTACTGCTGGATTGGGCACTAGGTAGTGATCCATGCTTTCCAGTTCCATGGAGAGGAGTCATTTGCAATACGGTAGGCGTGGTTACCTCTCTGTAAGTGTCCTACTCAATTCAATTTGAAAATAAGTTCCACGTATCATATGGATAGGAGGGTTGGGATTTTTGTGGGAGAGCAGTCATGAATTTGGACATAAGTTCAGCTCTACATGTGATCATTGTGACAAGAAATTTTGTGATCATTAGCAGGGATCTTTCCAACTCGCAACTATCAGGTGACGTTGCAGGCCTATTTCAAGATTTCACTAGTCTTGAATCTTTGTAAGAAACTACCTTAACCGACTTCTTTACGGAGAATACGTTGCACGCTGCTACAAATCATATCATGCATGTTGTATAAATATCCTTTTATTGTACGTTGTCAATCAGTGCGGTTCTACGTAGACCTACAGCCTACATGAATCATCAAGAAAAAAGTAGAATCCAAATTAGCTTTAATTCACCTGCTAATCCAAATCGTCTTGAAGGCTTTTATCCATCAGATAATATTTTACCACATCTTTAGGCAGACATTCTGCAAGCATTGTTTCTGCTTTTACTCAGGTTCACGTACAAATTGAGAGTGCTGCAAACTACTGTGATGTGCACTTGACGCTTAAAGAGCAGGACAGGATGTTTTGTACAAGGTCATCCTCTATGAAATCAAGAACACTGGAACTTTTCTTTCAATTTTGAGTCTGATTATTCAATGGCTTCGCAGAAATGCAAGCGGCAACAATCTAGTGGGACATGTCCAAAATCTCACAAAACGTTTTCAAAGCCTGAGAGATCTGTAAGTGGAACTTAATATTTTTCAGTGGCCCATGTCTCTCTTGCGAAAAATTATTTCAGTTGCTTCCTTCAAATCTTTCGTAGCAAACCCCTGCATTAATTGCAGGTAAATCGAGTATTCGATTTCCCAGTGTTCTGAGTTGACACAGTACAAACTAGTGATAATTATCATTTGTCCTCGAAAGCTGACTTCCGTCATATGTCGATATTCACCTTCCGGATTCAGACACAAATGCATACTCTGTCAAGGTGATCTTGATGGAATGATCTATACTCAAATTGCAGAGACCTGAGCGATAATCAACTTTCAGGAACCCTGGATGTATTTGCAACCTTGAATCTCCATTATCTGTAAGCACTTCGATGTCATTTTCGATTTTGTCCAAGCTGTGCTCTTTTCAAAACATGTAGGTATCCCTCTCTCTCTAGAACATGTTCCTTGTTTACCATATTATAATCAGAAACGAGAGCTCAATCTAAACTTGGAACGGTGACATGTTGCATTTCACTTCTATGTTTCCTGGGGTCTATGTCCTGCCTCACCTTTGATCTGGTATTCTTCTTCTCTTCCAGGAACATTGCCAACAATCAATTCTCTGGGCCCTTACCAGGAAGATTGACCCAGCCCGGCTTGGTGGTTATGTAATTGTCCTCTGACTACCCAAAAATTACTTTTTTTTTGAACTTTTTCTGCTCATGGCCACGACAATCGCCACACCAATGGGCTGTTCTGGTTTATTCGCCACACCAGAAACTTGGAAACAAACAAAACATGCCGATTCAGTTGAATTAATTATTTTCATGGAATTGATGCAGCACGTCAGGAAATCCTTGCATTCAATACGGCAGTACAGACCCCTGTGTTCCATCATTGGCGAGTTCCACAGTACCTCAATCTGTTGAAAGAAATGCCATAAGAAGCTCCAAACACTACTCGAAGTCGGTGATTACAGGAGTTGTAATGGGAATCAGTGCTGCCGTGCTAGCAATTGCAGCTGCCGGGTTCACAGGTTGTCGTCGCTACAAACTAAAACGCGAATTAATAAACGCGTTTCAAGAAGGTGATGCTCACTATTCACGATTCCCCTTAAAAGTAATTTTACTCGTGCTGCTAAGTCCAATTGGCATTAAACTCGCCTGCAGTTTACTAACAGATGCACCACATATCTGCAGCGGGGACGGTTAATATTCTGGAAAAAGAGCTGACACTCGGAAAGAACGCTAAGAGATTTTCCTTTCTAGAACTTGAAAATGCGACCAATCGATTTAAACAAATCTTAGGTGAAGGTAATCTAGGTCTGGTTTTCCGAGGTAGGTTACAAGATGGGACGGATGTCGCCATCAAAATGCGGGCAGACGGTTTACAACTCGATGCTGATTCTTTTTTGAATGAGGTACAAGAGGCCCCAAAGCTACTAGGTAGATGGGTTGATTATTGATGGTATGACTTCACGATATCTGTTCCCTAATAAAAATATAGTTGCTTTTCATCTTTTCTGTCCTTGTTAAACCCTCAGTTTTCTATTTTCGTCTCAGAAACTAAGAGTTGATGGTCTTTCGAATTCAGGTTTCATTGCTGTCGAAAGTGCGCCACCAGAATCTGGTGCTGCTGATAGGATTTTGTCTAGAGTGCAAAAAGCAACTGCTGGTCTTCGAGTTCATGTCTGGGGGTTCGCTCAAAGATCATTTATACGGTGAGAGGTCCTGGTTTTTGGCATTCAAGTACAAATATTGTGAAGACCTCCAGTATTAATCACAGTAGTGGGAATACAAGGATACTTCTTAGACGATGAAGGCGCAAATTGATTGAAGTGATCTGTCTTTCGTGGTGTAAGCACAGGTCCTCTTTCAAAGATACAACCGATGAGCTGGGAACAAAGACTAACTTCAGTTATTGGGGCAGCCGTTGGTAAAATCTGTCTTTGTAAAATAAGATTTTGTGCATTTTGTTTAACATTCTTATTTTTAAAATGTAGTCTGCGAAAAAGTAAAGAATTAGGCTCTTCTGCAGACTATTTTCCAGCACTTCTGTACTCCAGTAATTAGACCAGCTGAAACATGCTTACAAGTTCTGATAGTGTGGCATCCTGCCAAGCACGACTCAATCTTAATCAATATTTTTTTAATACGCAGGACTTGAGCATCTGCACCGTGGTTGTGAATTTAATATTATCCACAGAAACGTAAAGAGCTCCAACATCTTGCTAGGACCCAATTATTTTTCCAAGGTCGCTGATTTTTGTCTCTCGAAGCCAGCTAGCCATAACGAAAAGTCCCTTGTTGGAGGCACGGCAGGGTACCTTGATCCTGAGTAATATTCCTACTTCATCTTCTGGTTTTTAACAAAATGTGTAGCAGAAAGCGTCAAATCTTTCCCCACAGCTGAAAAAAGATTGGATTCAAATAGATATTGAAAACCTTCCTTAACTCTCGAAGATAGTATGAACTATTTATGTAGAAATCGTTTGATTGTGGATGGAATTGAATTGTGATTTCAGGTACTTCAACACGTCTCAGCTGACTGATAGGAGCGATGTATTCAGTTTTGGGGTTGTTCTCATGGAGATCTTGTGTGGAAGAGAACCTCTTTCCAGCGATAGCACTCCTGAAGAGTACAATCTTGTCGCATGGGTACCCACTCCCCCAAATAACCTACCTCTTTACTGTAACCAGGACGACTGAGGTCGGTCTTCACAATTGGTCCGTCTTTTTGGGTCGAGTGGCCAGATTTAGGTACCCTACGAGATATAACCCACCGCTACTTAAACAACTTTACAGCAAATCCCGTTCTCTAAATATATGTGTTAGAGAATCTCTTAAAACAATCAGGTACATAAACCAGGAAATAATGCTTAGGAATCACTGATACTGCAGGTTCGACCAGCTCTACAAGATGATATTCCGAAAGGAGACACCTCAGTGGTCGACAAAGCGTTAAGAAACCAGTTCGTTCTGCAGAGTCTGGCTATTGTGGCTAACGTAGCTCTCCAATGCACTGAGAAAGAGGGGGCAAACAGGCCGTCAATGACGCAGGTGGTAAGGGAGCTAAGACGGGCCGCAGATATTGAACTTTTGCTGCCGACCGGCAACAAAGATTCTTCTTCTCATCAATCGCTACAATCTACCTCGGGAACCACAACTAAACATAAAACCTATCATTCCGCAGAATTATACCCCACGCGTTCTAAGAACATATCTCAAATCAGATGAAGGTTGGCTGCAGAAGGACATACTTGGGATGCGTTTTAGAAACAGTACCAACATATTAAACAGTACGGTACATATCTTAACTCTCGATATTTGGTGATGATCTATCTCCAACGCGATGGATCCTAGATACAGCAATGTGTTCGTCAGTAGGACAGAAGTCAGCCAAACCCAATGCCATGATCCATATCTAGGCATAAATCATTCCTGTCACAACAATATAGGAGGCGAAGTGCGCAGATGGAGGATTCATCTGAAGGGCGATCAGTGTATGTTATCACTCTTGTCCCGAGTAAAGGTTAGAATGCGAAAAACATCACAAAGCTCAAACGCAATTTACATGTCTAATAACTGCCAGCAGAAGTGTTTCGATTGAACACAAGCTGGCCAATATCGTGTATTACAATCGTGACATGTCTTATGACTTCAGATCTGTGTAACAGCTAGAAGCAGGAGCTCATCTTGCGACAATCAATGCTTGGTGTTGTACCACGAAGGTGGCATGACGCACTTGCGGCAACCAGCCAAGAGCCTGCTCACGTGCCTGCTGCAGGTGCTGCTGGTGCTGCTGCAAAAATCAATTCCAACTATAATCTCCAGTAAGCTCTCGTACAAGCCTTCAGATAACTCTTCCATAGGCAACTTCCATATTCACCCTAGTAGTCTTTGACCGAGAAGTTCACTCCACAACTAGCCACATAACCCAAGCGGGCCTCTGCAAGTGACCTCTTTAACCCGGCCCTTCCATATTCAAAAGTTAGAAGAACTGAATCTTTCTTGGAAAGAAGGAGAGAAACCCTATCAAGGAATCCTCCGAACTTGGATGGATTGCAACATGTCGGCCTCGGAGATGTCTGATACTGCCACTACTAAGTCGCCCTTCTTCATCATCCCACGCGCTTTGAGCAGCGCAAACGTCCTGCGAAGGTTGCTCTCCATGTCTCCGGAGAAGTCCAGCCGGAAGGGAATCAGCCCCCACTGGAGGTTAAGTCGTTGTCGGACCATCTTGGTATCCGTGAAGGCAAAGATCGGGCAGTCGGGCCTGCACCTTGACAGCAAAGACGCCATGTAGCCGCGCCGGGTGTATACGAAAATGGCGTCCACTCCCAATCTGTTAGCTGCATTTGAAAAATATACGTACAAGAAAAAGAAAAAAAACAGAGTCATCGGTTAGCCACGGATGTGCAGAATGTTTCCCTTGAGCGCCATACATCCAGCATTCTTACGAAAGCCTCAGTACATGAAATCGAAAACGAGAAACCCTTCAGCTCACAAATGCATCCTCTAGTAGATTCATAAAGTCACGGTTATCTTCAAACACAAATCCGTGGGATTGCATACCCATCTGAGAGGCAGAGTTGCAAATGTTCTCTGAGATTCGGTCATCGAGCGCAGGAGAGAGTTCTGGAAGACGATCAGATGCATGTTGCTTATTTTCACGGCACCAGGACTCCATTCGGAGGCTAACAGTACGAAGGACGCTCAGAGCCTTCTCTGGAAACAGGCCCATGGCGGACTCTCCTGAGAGCATCAAAGCGTCTGCTCGTTGTCTCACAGCTTCTGATACATCTGCCACCTGGTCACCAATTCCAAAAGATCTCTGGTAAGACTAAAGCCGCAGCATAGCTCACACGGTCTACTTAGTAGAAAACTGGACAGAAGAGGAAAATGTATGGTGCCCTAACCTCTGCCCGGGTAGGCGTGGGGAATTCAATCATGGACTCTAAAAGTTGTGACGCTACAATGACTGGCTTGTTGAGCTCCCGGCATAGGTTAACGACCGCCTGCTGTACAGATGGCACTTGCTCCAGTGGAATTTGAGCGCCCAAATCGCCCCGGGCTACCATAGCTCCGTCTGAAACACGAATGATGTCTTCTAGGTTCTTCAAAGAATCACTACTCTCAATTTTAGCAAATACTCCAATAGACCTATTCCAGGGTTCGTCAACAGAAATCGGTCAGCATGCTAACGTAGTAGTGAGGAACACACTGGCTACTTCAAACAAAGAAATTCAGTTCATCACGTCCAATTTCGTACTCAAAAGATGAGAGCAACGCTAATCGAAACAGAATGGGTGGCTGAACATACATATAATCAAATTGAAGCGTCATTGCACTGGAATAGTGAGAAACCCAAAGATGGAGTTGTAAACATCCTGATGTGATAAATTACTGTAACAGTCTCGATTCGTGAAGACAAGAGGCGAGACCAATGAGCTGAAACTATACCAAACAAAGTTGGCTGCAAAGAAAGCACAGCGAGTCGCTCATACCCGTTCGGTGATCTTGCTTGAATGTAGCTTTTCAGATGCTTGATAACCTCAGATGTCTTCACGAAGGAAATGGCAATGAAATCCACCCCTTCTGCAATTCCAAAGTCAATATCAATCCAATCCTGCACAAGAGCAACAAGAGTATTGAGCGGTGGCTAGAGCATATAATCCACCAAAACTTTACACCAAACTTCCAAAATATATATATATATATATATATATATATCCACGCGCATTGTAATACAAGTGATTTTTAGTCCTTGCTCAAAGGACATTTGAGAGTCGTCAGAAGTATGAGATTGGTGACACTACACGAGAAGGTCAGCATTGTTGAGTAGAATGGTTCGTCCATTTAGCTCACCTTGGATGAGATGGTGGGAAGCATCGCATTTCGCTCTCGGACCAGCCGACCTTCCCTCCAGAAGGTCAAATTCGCACGAGGAAGCAGGAGACCAGGATCAGTGCACTTGCACTTCACATCAGGGCCAACTTTCTCAATCACTTCAAATCGAACCATGCCTCCGTCCACCACCAATTCATCTCCAACCTTCACATCTGCCAAAAAACCGTTTTCGGTGAACAGCGACGGGCCAAGAATAACAGATGTTTCTGCCAATTTTCATAGTCCATGTTCCTCCCAATTGCCACTCGTACTGATTTAAATTTTACTCTCTTTAGATTATACTGGTTTGTGAGGGGAAGGATCGCGGTGAGTGGTGTAAATTATGCGCAATGGCAGAGTACCTTCAGCAAAACCGTCGTAGTTTACAATTGTGGTGAACTCCGGCAGAGTACCGAACTTGCGGACCGTGAAAATCCATTCCTCGCCATCCTGGTCAACAGGTACACAGAAAAGTGAACATTTATCAGCAATCCAGAATCGATCTGATACCGGATGTCTGCTAATGCACCGCAACTGTTGAACCTCTCAGTTCAAATCTTCAACCAGATGAAACCGTTTGAAACCCATGCATCCATCCCCCTCAAGGATTTGCATTCCTGCAGGTTGTGAAGAGAAGCGGACAGAATTTTAGATGAGCGTACTACAACGATCCGATCCACGACCAACGTTGCTGAAGTGCTATTTTCTTTGAAGTTAGCTTGTTAAATCAACTGGGCGAATTAGTCAGATCCATTGCACAGAATATGAAACACAGAGCAATCGTGACGAGAAACAAAATACGCAATTTCCGTGTTAGGTGGAGATGGAAAGAGAGGATGAAACCCAAATTAAACGCATATAGCGATCTTCATAGTTAAAGCACAAGTTACTTTTAGAAAGCAAGAGCCTTCTACGCGAAAAACTCCGTTACCATTGAACTCATGCAGTTGAATCCTGGTAAATGAAGACGTGTAGCAGAGCTAACCTCGGCTTTAACAGACGGAGCGCCATTGAAATCCCCCATGTGGATTTCGCTACCCTCGGTATCCATCATGATAGCCACGGAATAGCCCTTCTCGGAATTCAACCTGCGCACATTGCAAATCACTTCCGTGTGCCATTCCCTCGTGCCGTGGCACATATTGAGACGGGCCACGTTCATACCCCCTATTGCCAGCGCCTCAAGCTGCTCCGGTGCGCATGTGGCAGGACCGATAGTGCATATCAGCTTCGTCCTCCTTGTGCTGCGGAACCCATTCTCCTTCAATTCAGCCTCCGTCACCAAATCGATCTCCATGGACTGGCTCTGTGCCCCCTCAACGCCTGGATTCGCTGGGGACGCCCCATTCACCGAAACCGCTCCGTCCTTGTTCTCCTCCAAACCCAACACTGCCTCGGCTTTCGCATACACCAAACCAGATTTTCTCTGGGGCACTTGAACCTGCGGCCTCATCCCCATCCGTTTCCCATACTTGTTCACCCCCACCAACGGCGACGACACACACAGCGCAGAGCGCAAAGAAGCAGAGGAGATCCTACCACCGCCAGCAGAGGACACCCCCGCAAGGTCCCCATAAACGCATAACGGAACAGAGGACGAGCACAGCGACTGCATGTGCATCATCGATCCCTGAACCATGAAAGCAACAAGCTCAACCCTCCCCCACCTGCTCTCTTCTCCTCCCACTCCCCAGCCGCCACTCACCCACACAAACCCAACAGAGCACAACCCAATAAGGCACAACCCACCTCCGAAAGAAAGAAATTCTGTAAAGAGCACAGGTGCCCAGTGGCGAAATCAACTATCTTCGCACCTGTGGATAATTTGGCAACGGAATAGAGACGAAAAAATGAGGAACGTATCCAAGAGTTCAAGTCACATTCCCTCTCAGGTCTCACTACCCCTTCGTGTCTCACTCTCTCTCTCGCTCGCTCTCACGCACTACCGTTGTCCTGGGTATCAGAGCTGCATGCCTCCCGGACTGTTATTGTTGTGAGCTGCGAGAGCAGCGCGCACCAATCTGGCTGGTGGGGGATTAACGAAAAGAGGGTGTTGAAGACGGCGAGTGCGTTGGTGGAGTCACTGAGTTGAGTTGGGTGGAGTGGGGTGGCATCGTCACCTTTGAAGTAGCCTTCCCACGGCCCTGGAGGCGGAACAACCGAGGCAGCCATCCCAGCCACCCCGTCTTTTACACAAACTCTCGCCGCGGGAGCCCCATCCGAGGCGGAGCAACTTTTTTACTTTGCTTCTTTTGGGCGAGAAGAAAGAAAGAAAGAAGAAGGAAAAGAAAAACACTCACACACACACACACAGGCACACATACATTCAAAGGGGGAAAGAAAAATATCTCTTAAAAAGGTGAAGGGGTTTGATTCATTTGGCCACCGCCTTCTCCATCACCTTGTCTTCTTTGTATGATGTCTTCCCGAGTGTGACATTTGGTTTGTTAATGTTTGTGTTAAGTTTTATGTGGATTTGAAGGTGCCAAACCTGAGTTGGTCAATAATGTTTAGTCTCTAGTTTCTGTCTTATTGTTTGGGTTGGGGTTTGAGATTGTTTTTCGCATAGAAATGTTTCTCATGGTGATGGGGACTGTTGAGGTTTGTGGGTATGATTTTTTTACCATTGTAGGTGTAGGATGTAAGGTGCGTGTGTAGATTGTGAAGGTTGTGGTTTGCAATGGGCCAAAAACATAATGGTCAACTATGTTCCTTACTGATATTATTTTTCTTTGTGTATGGGTTGATGTAGTATTTGGAATTAGGACACTTCCAAAGAACACATTTTGTGATTGGTTGATGTGCTAAATTGAATGAATTTTGTGGAATTAAGGTTAGTGATATGTTGAAGTGTTAAACTTCTTTATGAAACTACAATGTAATTGCAAATTTTTTTTATCCTTAGAAGGTTTATTATTGTCTCACTCAAAAGTGATTTTGTATGTTTTGAAATATTTAAGTATTATAATTATTATTAAAATTTCTAACTTAAATTCTTAATTCATTCTGCTCCAAATTACACAGGAATTTACTGAGCCCAAAAGATTGTGAGGCAGTTGAAAAATGTTACAGAGAAGTTGAGCTTCTTTATGCAAATCTGTAAGTAAAGATGGTTTGCATTTATGAAGACTTGAAGCTTGTGTTATTTAATATTCTCTTTCTAGGTTATGCAAAGGGTACAACACAAACATGGTTGAAAACATCAACTTCTTATTGGAACATCCATGGAGGTAAAAACACAATTAAAATACACCACAAAGTAGAGTTTTGACATGCAAGTAGTATATCCCACGATGAATATTGCTACTTGAAAAAATCATTCTTGTCTTGCATTGCACTATTACACCATAATCAAGCAAGGATCATTATTCGAATCTTTTACAAGTAAGAAAAATAATAATGTAGGTTAGTAAAAATGTTTATGTTTTGTATCAGAAAGGATAAACATTTGTATATCTTATCTTGGAACTTTTTTTTTGTTCACTATCAATTTTGTAAATCAGTTTTCAAAAAAATAGTTTTTGACCAAGAAACGTGGAAAATCACCTTGAAATCTTATGATTGTGTTAAATCTAAACTTATTGATGTTACATTTTTGCATTAATTGTAAATAAAGTTTTAAATTTTAGTTACCAATTTGGTATAAATGTACTCTAAGGTTTAAAATGTAACAACAATAAACCAATTGGATCTATTCTAACAATTGTCTTGAAACCAAGATACATTTATTTTTTAATAAACAAGTCAGTTGACAAAATACATTAACTTGAATTGGTAATTGGCACCTCTAACAATGCCAATATGATACTCATTTAACTCCCAGCCTTATAATATAGTCTTTTCAAGATTTAATACAATTGTTATAAAACTTATTCCAACTCATTGTTATAGACATATTCCAACTTAAAACTTCCCCCAGGTACCTCCCTCTTCCATGCGCTTACAGTTGAGAGCGCACTCGTTGTGTCCACTTAACCCAATGTTTTACATTTCTTTAACAGTTTTAGCTCTTTGTCCAATGACCTTCAACAAATCCTTCTTATTCCATGCATGGTAGATTTGACTTTCTTGGACATGCATGCCTAACAAGATGCGGTAAGAAACCGACACTTGCTAATCCAGCTATGATTTCAATTTCACTTTATCCTGTTAAAACACAACAATGCAATACGCAGTTTAACACTAGCCATAGATGTTACATGAGATTAACAAGAGTTCAGCAGCGGCCATTGCAGAAACCAATTCAAAATACGAGTGACATCTACGTTAAAGCTGATATACTATCAATTACAATAACCCTTAAAGCCCACAAATTGCTCTATGCATATGACTGTAAGGACAACACTGTCATCGTAAGATCTCAACACTGTCATCGTAAGATCTCAACACTGTCATCGTAAGAATCTCAACAGATACTGCCAAAAATGAACTTCCCACAAAACAATTATGAAATGAGTTTAGACAATGAGCAACATACCCCAGTAATTGTTCGAGGAATTTTGGCACAAACACCAATCTTAGATGCTAACGCTCCCCCAGCAGATCCACCGTTCCCAAAGTGCGATAGAAAAATAAAACTCACAGCACCCATGTTCTGCAAAATCACACGGGTCTAAAAATTAAATCTTTGGTAAGCCGTTAAAGTAAATTTAGTGTACGGGTATGGTTACACTACTGAAGCCAATTTTCGCCAAAACACTACAAACGCAAAAGACACGCGCTTTCAAATATAAGCCAATCAGTACCAAGAACTCTAAACAAAGAGCAATTAATCTAAAAGAGTAGACAAAATTCAAATAGACGTCAGAGACGCATACACGAGCCATAAAATTAACGAGCATACAATCGACAGATTTCCGCATACAATTGATACTCAAAACCAATTGATACTCAAAAATCTCACCTTATCCGACAGAACCAAGACGTTCCATAGACCACCCAACCCTCAGACCACTGAAGGTTGTCGCTGGCGAAAAAGACGTCATAGAGGTTTTTAAGGTAGACTAGCCCATAGTTGACAGATGCACTGCTCAAAAGCTGGGACGCCAGCTACGCGCTTTGATGCGCTGGGGTGGAGGCGAGCGCCAAATTCGAGCTACATGTCAAATCCAGAATTGCTCTTACTGCTTGCACCCATGTTTAGCAGAAATCCAACAACAGATGGAAAACGTCACTGGAGCAGCCTCGAACTTGTCAAAGAAGGAACCCTTTTACTTCGAGAGTAACTTCCAATTCACAACAAAACAAAAAACTGTCCACAGTTATGATCCAATTTATTGAACTCCCATTGCGCTCAGCAATTTTCCACCGCTGCGGGAAGAGGAGTGCCTCCGGCCGATCCCACCGGCGCTGGAATGAACGTTTCATGATACCCACCGCGACAGCGGCCAAAGGGCAACTCAAAAACCATATCAATCCCGAACTGCAAGGCAGAATCCGAGGTAGATAAGTTCCAGGCACAAGGTCTGCAACAAATGAGTCCGATCCCAGCGACCTTTGATTAGACGAGTAGCTCAAGTTCCTACTTACAGACTTGGACATTGATTTCCTGCGATTCCTTTTAAGGCTTCGATATATCGCTCTTTCTTTGAGACTCAGAATATAAGTAGTACCACATGCAATGAAACAATAACCTACAGTTCCGGAGAATAGAGGCCTTTGTTAGAGAAAGTAAAGCATGATGTTTAGGCTCTAGGAGCAAAAGCAAGGCTACTGGAACGTTCACAAGAAAGGCATCGTCTCTGGCATTGCAGATCATCAATCCCAGCAGTAAGGGATGTAAAGCTCTCGCATTCTTAATACTTCAAATCATACAAAATGAGGACGAAGACTACGTTCAAGCAAATGCATCTACAGCAACTTTCAGATATTTGCGGTGCAGGTTATAATCAGGTCGTCGGCTTTCGCAAGTTTACAATCAAATACTGCACCGACTAAACAGCGATCACTTTGGCCAATCCCTGAGGTAGGAGAATTCAAAGAATTGAGCAATGAAGAAGTACTCACATAATGTGGTCAGTTCCTGATATACAATCCACCGGTTGCTTGCATTCTAAATTCGTAATGGGATTATGAATCCACGCCGCATGATCGATGTATGGGGTTGATAGGGCAATATCTGATGCTTGCAACCACGACATGAAGTGTTTAAGGGAAGCCATTGGGCTGAAGGAACTATCGCTTCTGACTTCTGTAGCTGCGGCTGTGAGGGTGCGTTCAAACGCTGCACCAATCTTTTTACATCGGCCACTTGCTTGCCGAAATCTTGATCGCGAGCACGATTTCCAAATACCTGCCATCAACAATCCTAAGTGAGATTGTGCAAGTGGACCAGAAACAAAAATTCATGGGATTGATCGAAGGCAAACAATTATATCTTACGTGCGCACAGCCTACGCTGAGAAAAGAGGATGATGGGATTACCTGGGCGCCAACTCCTGGCCTGATTAGGGCTCTTGAAGACGGTGCACGAAAACGCTCAAAATTATGATGCCTGCGGGGCGGTATCGTGTTAACCTGTCTGTGAAATAATTCCATGCACTTCCGCATGGTCCATGCGCCCTGGGACGAGACCACGATCATCTCTGCAGCCAGAGCGCAGATGTTGAATTTTCGTTCCGCTGCTCGCCAGGGCTCTAACGTCTCCAGCAATGTGTCACGCTCTACTAACCACGCGACCACGGCTTGCGGCTTATTGAGCACTGGAACTAGGGCAGGATCCGCAGCAACTGTTGTTTCTGTCCACACAACTTTCTTGTTCTCTTTGCACCACTCTGGTACCTCCTCCACCGCCCACTCCTCGCCTAGTATAGCATACACGGCAGCACGCAATGGCCGCGCGAGGACGTGCAGGTTCCCCATAGTCTTATCAGAGGAGCTGCTTGTACCACGACGTGTCATGCCATTCATCAGAGAGGGACGGTACTTGGTGATCACTCCAAGTGACCAATTCTGCTCATAGCTGAGGACAGCATGTGCAAGTTCCAGCTGCACTCTTCTTGTAACAGACCTAGGTTTGGCAGATGTGTCAATTGTCGTCGTGGGCTCCAAGAACAGCTTACCGTCACGCACAGAGAAACCATTGCATACACAAATCGGTCTATCGTACCGGAAGAAATCCCGATCCCTACTCAGCACTATTCCGGAAGTTGCAATGGCCAGAGCTGCCAGAACGTCGTCTGCATCCGCACCCAGGGGCCTCACCACACGAATGCCGTGCTTCTGGAATGATTCCACGAGGAAGATGTCCACCCCCAAACACACTTTCTTCCTCTCCTTGAAAATCTCCTCCTGGCGACGCTTGTGCCACTTCCCAAGTGCCTGCTCCGTCTTCGTGTCGGCATCCGCCACGAGTACGATCTCAAAATTGGATAAACGAGCTGCATGTACAAACTGCCTAACCTTCTTGTCCGAATTCCGCAGCGCTCTCCACGGATTCGTCATAATCTCACGAGTGTTCCAAAACGAGCCCAGCCAATTAATCCCATCCATATACACAAGTTTCCTCTCCCCAAACCCATTGTCCATTTCCGGCTGGCCACTCTTCCGCAACCTAGGTCGCCTGCCAAGCCGAACCCCAGACGATCTCGACCCTATCTTCGTCGCGCAGGGCAAAATCTGCCTCTCCTTCGATCCAATCTTCGCCCCGCACGGCAGACCTTGCGAGCCCCTTGGTTTCACGCAGTGCGCTACCATCGTGCAGTCAAAGTCATCGATCATCCAGTCCCACGACATGCTGACATGATCTCAAACTAAACAAATATTAGAACACTCGCCAAATCCAAAACTCAGCCACACCGTCCACTACTCACAAATCGACAAATTCGCACGATTAATTACAAAAACTCACGAGCAATACACCGATCTCCCATCACAGTACACAACATCGCATCATGTCCTAACGAAGACGCAAATTATTCGGAACCAGTCTGAGAAACTTGGTAACCTAAACACTTCCAAACACGATGATCATTGACTGTGCGACTCGGATGATGCTGGGCTCCGCGGCGCTATGAGGGGCAGGTTTTGAGGGAGGCATTCAAGTCCGCGATGGGAACACTTGCACGAAGAGGAGCCACTGAGTCGAAGCGCGAATTGGGGCCTTGCAATTTCGTGATCGGGCGGGGAACAAATTGGGGAAAAGGCTAATCGTGGCTCCACAACCAACTCTTTCACATCACTTTTCTGATTCAGTTCGTGACACCACGTCATCGCTGGGGTTGCCATGACTCCGCAAAGGATGCCGCACGATGCAAGCCCTGCACAACTCCGCGCGACACCACCACCGTCGTCTTCTCCCTCTCCACGCACGCCCAGCTCCGCACCACGGGCCTCCCTCCACGCTGGCCTCCACGCTGGCATTTCCCTATTGGTCGCACCCCTCTCAACCCTCACGACTGGCTTCCTCCAATGGGATCCTTCCTCCGCTTCCGACGAAAAGAGGTGCCTCGTTGGCAACAGTGGTCGCTGCTCTGGGACACACCTAGTGAGGGTCGAGACTAGTGAGGGTCGAGATTTAGTGTAAGTGAGGCTTTTGCAAAAACAAGTGCGTATCATTATTAGAAAAGTAGAATTATTCGATCTTATAATGGGAATTGAATTGTGGGAACTTTGAGTGATTCCATGTGACCGTCTCAGTTGGCAAAATTAGTTTTCCTTTATTTTTCTTTTCATTTACTTTGCTTTCTTTTTCTTTTTCTTTGAAAAAGAAAAAATTGTTATGTCACTTCATTTTATATTATATCAAGTTAATTTTTATTATTATTTTACATTGAGTTTAAAAAATTTGGAGCTTTTTAAAAATATATATATATACTTTTTCCATTGTTCTAATCTTTGTTAATTTATAATCTATGTATCATTTGTATTATTGATTTTACATCTAGTTTGATTTCTTTTTCTTCTTTTTCTTTCACATTACAATAAAATACATAAATATTCATTTTTATTATTATATGTAAATGAATTGATATCAATTGGAATTTTTTACATTTTTTTACTTTGTTACTAAATATATTTATTGTATCTTCATTTTAATTATGATTAAAGAATCTATGCACAACTATAATATTTATTGTACCAAAAAATATTTTTACTTTCTATTCTTTATTTTTTATTTTTAGAATTATCTAAACAACACTTTTTTATTTAAAAATTTCAAGGAAAAATATCATATATATTCCTTGAGTATATTGAAAGATGAAGAATATCCTTGCATTCTTGATAATAACAAATGTACTCTTGAATATGATAAGGTATCAAAAATTTAACAAAGGCACACCAATTTTTATAGATTCCATTATTTTCTTTATTTTTATATAGATATCAAGGACATGAATCTCAAAAAACCAAAATTTTAATATACTCTTGTATAATTCAAAAAGAATAGATATTTATTCAAAATTAATATAGTATTGAAATTGAAATGGCTATTGCCAAAGAGAAGAAGACTAAAAAGTCTTGTAAAAAAACTAAAGACTAGAAGACATTTATAAAAGTCAAGAAGGCTTTATTCTTGTCTCTATATATACTATTTGACTAGAAGCTATATGGCAACATTCTATATGACCTATAACACGTGTCTAATTTGCAAGATATGCATTTTAACTTATAAGGCAAGTTTCTTATATATGCGCCACATTGTTAGCTTATACCACAAGCTATTAATACATGTGACACGTGGCTAACTTGTTAGCCAAATTTTTAATCTATCAATCACCAATAGATATATATAAAGATAAAACCTTGTCTATATAGCTTCTAAAAAACTTTCTTATAAGATATTATCAAATTAATATACTTTTACATATTTATAATATTTGAATAATTGTTAAAATAAATATATATGTTTATAATATTATCTTCCTTCCTTCCTCCTTCCTTCTAAAGATGAGTTCCATAAAGAGTGGTGATCACATATTGAAAAAGTCAAAGATGCAATAAATTATATTTGCTACATACTTTGATCTTTTGTCACGGACATATGCATATAAGCTAGTAATTATATGTATAAATAGGTAGAAGTAAGTAAAAGTAGGTAAAAGTAAGTTAATTCTATAGTATTTAGTATAGAAGCTTTTTAGAAGCTTTATAAATATTGCTTTGACTTTAAAGATGTCTTTAATTGACTTTTTGGGATTAGAAACGTGGTCAACAAATTGGCTATGTGCCACACATGTTGTTAGCTTGAAGTCTAAGCTAACTATTTGGCCCACACATAGAAAAACTTGTCTTATAAGTCAAGGCATGTGTCCTATAAAGTCAACACATATTAGAGGTCTTATAGAACGTCGCCACGTAGCTCCTAATAAGATAGTATATATAGAGACAAGAGTGAAGCCATCTTCACTCTTGTCAATTCCTTTCTTGCTTCTAGTCTAGTTTCAAGGGTCTTTGGTTTTCTTGTCTTTTGGCAATAGCCATTCCAGTTTCTTTCTTAATATACATATTGAGTTATTTCTATTTTGTCATCTTTCTTTGAGAGAAGTCTCACTTGTTTATTTGTCTTTATCAAGTTCTTGTCCTTAACAAATTGACAAGAGTACACTTATAATATCAGAGCTTTATCTAATCTTGATTAAGAGTGAATTATCCCTTTTTCTTGATAAGACATAAGCGTATTAGAAGTTACGGATTATCCTCTTCTAAACTGATATTGTTCTTAGTATTTTCTTTGTTTTCAAATCCTCTCTTCTATTTGTCTTGAGTGATATTAGGTATCTTTTTTTTTTCTAATTATTATCATGGCAGAACTAGCTGAAATAAAGAGTGCAATGACACAAATATAAGAGCAATTGAGGAAATTAATGCTTGCAATGCATCAACTCAATTTACCACCACAAAAAGCAACAAGATTGGCAAGAAGTGAAGATATAGAAATGATTGGAGCTGCTTCAACACCTACACCAAATCATGTCCCTTTTCCTATGGTGGAATGCCCTTCCAGTATTAGAGAACCTAGAATTGTCCTACCCGAGAAGTTTGATGGTACCAAATGAAAGTTTAGAAGATTTATCAATCAAATACAACTTGTGATTGAACTTCAACTCCAAAGTTATCCAACTCCGGGATCACAAGTTAGATTCATTAATACGCTTCTTTTAGATTCAGCATTATCATGGTTTTCATCTTTTCTTGAACAACAAGATCCAATATTAGATAATCTTAAGGCTTTTTTGGCGGAGTTTTAATCCATGTATGGAGAACATGATGCAATTCGTGTTGCAACCAACAAGATCCATATTTTACAACAAGGTAATCGATTGGTAATAATGTATGCTTCACAATTTTCACAACTTGCAACTGATATCAAGTGGCATGATGCTGCACTTATTAGCCAATTTCTTTACGGATTTTAATATGAGGTAAAAAAATTAATGTTCAACTTACCTGATCTTCAAATATTGAGTCAAGTAATTGACTTTGCTATGAAGTGCGACAATTGTCTTTTTGAATTCCGATCAGAGAACCATACAAATGGACCTCAACATTACTATAATTCAATGGCAATACCAACATCTCTTCAACACATACATTCGGAAGTAGAAGATATGCAAATCAATGCAGTACGTTTGAAACTTCTTACTGAGCAGAAAATACTCAACGTCATCAAGAAGGATTGTCCTTATATTATGGAGAACCTAAGCACACTGCTCAACATTACCTAAAGAAGTGACGCAACCATAAAATGAGCAGTACGGCGATCAAAGAAGATAACATGTTGAAAAACGAATTTGTCTAGCTACAATATGGATCGTACAGTTGGAACCTTGTACAATACCTAGTAAAGATCCTATTCTCTCTTTAGAATCCTCTCCATGTTTTATGATAAATGTTATTATAGGACCTAAACATTACAAAGCCTTTACCTTGTTAGATTCAGGAGCCTCAGCATATTTCTTAAATGAAGAATTTGCAAAAAGACATAGCATACTTTTAGTGAAGAAAACTAAACCCGTTCATGTAGAAGTCATAGATGGTTGTCCATTGTCTTCAAGAGATGTTATTCATGAAACCCTTCCTATAGAAGTAGCAACTAGTGGTCATAGTAGCTTTATAATATTTAATATCATTAAATATCTCTCTAATTTAGTTATTTTAGGTTTATCATGGCTAAAAAAATACAACCCTAAAATAGATTGGACTTCTCATAGACTTGACTTTTCTGAAAGTATAACTAAAAACATAGTTATCAAATAGAAAGTCATAAGTCTAGTACAATTAAACCTATATTTGTAAGTACAAGAGCTTTCTTGCATGCTGCAAAAGAAGGATCACCTTGTGTCATTTATGCCACACCTGTTTCTACTAGTGGAAAGACTTCAAGTCGCATGCAAAGCCAATATCAAGATTTTCAAGATGTATTTGAAAAGAAAAATGTGGATACTCTTCTGGAACATCGTTCCTATGACTGCTCAATTGATCTTCAAGAAGGAGCACCACCGCCATTTGGACCAATCTATAATTTATCTCAAAAGGAGTTGGCTGAAGTCAAAGAGTATATTGAAGAGAATCTAGCCAAGAACTTCATGCATCATTCCAAATCTCGAATAGGAGCTCCAATTTTATTTTTGAAGAAAAAAGATGGATCATTGCGGATGTGTGTCGATTATTGAGGACTCAACAAAATCACCATCAAGAACAGGTACCTACTACCTTTGATATCTAGACTCCTTGATCAGCTCAATGAAGCTAAGATCTATGTAAAAATAGATCTACGAGGAGCATACAATCTACTACGCATCAAAGAAGGAGATGAATGGAAGATTGTGTTTCAAACAAGGTATGGATATTTTGAATACAACGTCATGCCTTTTGGACTTACAAATGCACCAGTATTATTTCAACATCTAATGAATGATGTCTTTTGGGAGTTTTTAGATGATTTTGTTGTCTGTTATCTAGACGACATCTTAATCTATTCTAAGAACTCAAAAAAACATACACTTAATATTCATCGTGTGTTACAAAAACTAAGAGATGGGAGACTCTATGCTAAGATAGAAAAGTGTGTATTTCACACTACTCAAGTCGACTTTTTAAGATACATCATTTCAAATGATGGACTTATGATGGATCCTAAGAAAATTCAAAGTATTATGGATTGGAAGATTCCAAAAACGGTAAGA